CGGGGAGGAGCCAAGCCTAAACAGTTTTATCTGGCTCCAAAGTCCACAGTCTTCCTCCACATCCTGTTGCCACCTCCGACATTCAAAAAGATGTCACCACTTGCCTGACAAACAGGGCACTGAGTCACCTATTCACACAGATGCGAAATGGCAAAAAAATACACACGAGAAAGATCCTTTATACAGACCAGTTTGGCCAGAAGCAGCAAACTATGCTCTCAGCAAATAATCCTGTGTTCTGTTAAGAAAAACAACAGAAAAAGTGACAGGACACAACTAAATCTAGCACCAACCAAGAGACCATATCTTCATTTTTGTCAACAACTACTAAGAGTCACCCCAATGGGTGATGTGCCAGAAATCTATTTAAAAACTGCCCATCTCACCTCATTACATCACCAGCGAAACCGCACACAATGTCTTCAAAACTGCATCTGCATTAACTCCTAAAATCAAAAGTGTCCACGCAGCAAAGACTAGGCCAAGAAACTGGGAAAGTCAAACCCATGAAGTTTGGCTCCCCCTAAACAATCTCATTTTTACCTTAACTTATCCCCATGAACTTGACATGCAACCCAGACAAACTGGCAGCTTTTCCATCCTATTAGGTTTTAATTATGAAACTGGCTTCAAACCATGTATTCGGAAAGGAGTCCCTCCACCAATGAGGCTGCTCCTACAGTCCCTGATCTGCTGAATAAATACCAATTGCCAGAAATCTCAGGAGTCATCCTTTTTTCTCAGCTGTGCTGCCAAGGTACAGGTTAAGCGCCTTGCTCAATTCAGCTACTTTGCTTGCTATTCGCTCTGTCACTCAACCTCCTGGCGTGAATCGGACCCAGTTGCTCTGGCACTAGAATTACTGTTTGTGGGGACCAAAATTAGGTTCTCTAGAATCTGGTTTGACTTGATAGCTATCCACGGAGACTTGGAAATAGTTCCATTAGCAATTTTCACCACAGAATATTTACTGTAACTGGATCTGACCTCTATGGAGAGATGTTTCTAGAGGCCTCATAGCCATAAGCCATAAAAATGTAACAAAAGGAAGTGGACCCTCAGACAGCCATTTCTCTCCCATCATGGAAGAAGGTAAAAGATCTAAGAGCAAGAAGCAGAGGTGGAAGCACCGTTAAATAAATTACTAAGCAAGTCCAACATGCAATAGCTCTACATTCAACTATATAGAAACACAAGAGTCAAAACCGTTCATCTTAAATTTGCCAGGCAGTTGAACAGCCAGGTCCACAGGTACAAAACAATTTTCCCTTGGGATCAGCCTTCCTGGCTGTGGAAAAACCACAGTAGTGGCTAAAATAGCTGGCTCTAGAGAAAACTATGGCTTAAAAAGAAATCAAAAATTTAAACCTTCAGAGCACAACAAAATTGTACCAGGGGGAGAGGACAGGCTGTGAATTACTCCTTTTGGGCAATCACATTTTTTTTTCTTTTAAAGAGCAAATTTGAGAGGAATTAAAAAAATAAAGGGGCTTTATGACCAGAACATCCATATTTCCATGGTCAAAATCGACTTTTTTTCTACTAGGAGACTTTGATTTGCTTTTAAGTTAAATCTCTCACCCAGAGAAAATAAAAATGTGAAAGGTTATAAGTGTATAATAAGATTGGTTGTTAAATCAGGGATTCTGAGTGACACCCTTTTCTTTCTTTTTTTTTTTGCAACATCCATTAATTTGATTTTTAACTAATACTGGTACATCAGTTTGGGGGGAAAAAAGGCAGTACTGTGACATTTCAACAACAAAGATTAACCAAATAGTTTTTGACTTAATTACTGGGGCTTCTCGGGATGAGATTCCTTTGAGAACAGAAAACAATAAACCCTTGTGTTGATATGCCTGTGAGTTTTTTAAATGCTTGGGGAAATAGTTTCAAGTTCACTGAATGATTGCTAAAAATTTCACTTACAAAAAAAATCTCATTTCCTTAACGTTTCTTTTTAAAACTCAATTCAAATACGCAACTTAGTAGCCTTTGGAACTTGGGTCATCAGTCATCCAATTCCTGTTCTCAGCTCCTGGAGAAGGAATTTTATAAAGGATGGGAAACTTCAAATAAATGCAATTCATTTCGGGCTGACCCAGTGCCCTGGATAATGTGTTTGTTCGGTTTGTGCTTCAGACATTTTTTGCAGGATACTGTAGGGTTTGGAGATTTCTTCCTCCCATAACTGATTTTACATACTAAGGATCACCACCCCATGGCAGTTGTGAACATATTAAGAGGAAGAAAACAAGGGGCCTACTGAATTGCAGTTTCCTCATCTACATGTGCGTGACCTTTTTTCCTTTTAAGAAGGAAAAAAAGGAAACGGTTCTTTTGGAGAGGACCAGGGCTCTCTCTCAAAGTATGTCAGGGATCAAAAGTGGGAAAGAGGGAAAATGCAACTTCAACGTGTTTTGTCTTTTAACGGAACTTATGCTTGTAAAACACATCAGAAGTACAGTGTTTGGTTCTGCAAGTCATTTCTGTTTCTGTTTTTTCCTTGTTACGTGTAGGCCGGGGGGACTGGGGGCTGGAGGAGGTGTTCCCTCCAACATGACTGGGCGTGTAACACGTTTGCATCAACTTTTCACAGTCAGACATGTGCTTTCGAACAAAGGAGCAGTGGAGACGGGCAGAGATGGGGGCTTGACACAGTTTACAGATTTTGTGCTTCGACAGTACTTTACAAATGACTTGCTCAATTTTAACGTCCATCACCACAAGAGACATTGGAGTAAAATGAGAAAATTGGAGCTACTTGAACCAATCTTTTTTGGGGGGCAGGGAGGGAGGGAAACCATTAACTTGAATACATGTATCATAAATCAAATTCAGTAAGCTTGTCTCCTACAAATGGACTTGAAGTATCCACTCTTTTCAGAGATGAAGGCTGGAGACAAACCAATGGATTGAAATGGAAAGAGGGATGCCAAGAGTCCGAAAACATACGGGCCTTTTATATCGATTTTTGTCATGTTACAGTAACACATTTTTTTTTTTTTTTTTGGAGAAAACTGTGTACGTAAAATTTAAAAAATTAAACATTGAAAGGATGTGCAAGTCTAAAAGGGCTCAACCGGGTTAGAATCCTGATTCGAACATATCAACTCACTCTCTCAAGCATCACTTTGGTCTAAAGGCGAGGAGGAAGGCAGGCAGGAAAGGGAGAAAAAGAGGGAGATCATTGAATTACTCAATAAAAGAGGCTACTTACCATCCCAACCCATTGTAAGACATACACTTCTGACATAAGAGAACTCCTTAGAGGTCGAATAAAGCGTGTAAGCACCTTTGAGTAATGCACCTGCCCCCGAGAGGGGGCCCGGAAGCCCAACGAGGGCTTTGCGAACAGACCTTTGCTAATCTGTTTATTTCCTTGAACTGGAGTCGGGCTGCGATGGGCTGCGATTCCCAGGACGATACATTTAATTAGAACAAAACAGAAAAAAACAAATGTTGTAAAAAGCTCACCAAACTGCTGCACTTGTGTCTCTGAATGTGGGTGGCATTTCTTTTAAAAGGCAAAGTATGGTCTGTGAAGGAGAAAGGGGAAAGGGGAGGTGGGAGTAGGGAGAAGGGGCCGTAGACCCTGGCAGGGGAAGCCCTGGCTGAGACCCCCGGCTAAGGGAGGGTCCTCAGCGGCTCCCCAGCCAGGGCTGCGGCGGAGTAGCCATCTGTCCAGCGCGTTCTTTTCCCCTCTCCACCCCCACTCCAAGACTCGCTTTCCTGCCGGCTGAAACCCACCGTCCGTGTCCAAATCTACTCTCCAGCCGTCTCTTCTGCCCCACCAGGAAACAGTGGGCGAACCCTGCACCCCAACTCCTTCTGCTCCAGCAGGGGAAGGAAAACGGGGCCCCAACCTCGCCCTGAAACGCGCCGGGCTGACCCCATTATCACCCGCCAGCCAGAGAAGGGCGTGGGGGGGGGGGGGGGCGCCGCGTTTCGCACTTAATAAAGGGAAGGGGGCGCTTCCTTTAACGCCCTGCCAAAGCACAAGGAAATCTCCTTTTCTCTCTCCCGGAAGAGACGGTGCCCCATTTTACTCCGACAGAGGGGGGAACCCCACGAGAAAGCGCGGGACCAACTTCCTTTCCCTACAAGGCAGGGAAACCAAACCTTACCCCCACAAAACAAGGCTGCTAGTCCTCCCTCACGTCACCTACCTATGAAAAGCGAGAGAACCCCTGCCCTTTAGCAAAAACACGGGTAAGAATCTTCTCTAAATAAATAGGCAGGGGTTTTCATCAAAAGGGCTGGAGATGCATCTCCCCCACTCCCCAATTCGGCCTTCTAGGGAATAGCTACAGAACACCTCCCGCCAAAAAATAAAAGTGCTATAAAGCACCCACCCAAATGACCCCCCATTACAAGGATGGAGAAGGGACTTGAATGAACCCCCACTTTCTGCCTCCTAAACTAAGGTACCTATCATCCAAGTAGGGTAGGGTGTGCCTCCCCCAGGAGAAAGGATACTGCCGGGGGCTGGGAGACCCCCAACCCCAAACCCCTAAGAGCGGGGCTGTTGCTCGAGATCCCCCCAAAAAGGGTCCGGAGCCCCTCCCCCATCCCCTTCCCCGAAGCCAGGCGACGAGCAGGCGGGCCCGTGGCTGCCAGCTCCGGGCGTAGGGGCAGCCAAGGACCCCCGTGGGCCTCCGCAGCACCCCCCCCGGCGCCCCCTCCCCAGGGCGGGCGGGCGGGCGCGGGGGGTCCGAGGGGCGCCTCCTCACCTTCCCCTCAGCATGGCGCCCAAAAAAGACAGAGCGAGAGCGAGGGAGAGCGGGCGAACGCCGCGAGGGGGGGGAAACGCATGAGGCCGGGAGAGAAAGCAAGCGAGAAAGAGCGAGCGAGCAAGCGATCGAGAGACACCCACCGACCCCGCCCTTCCTCCTCCTCCTCCTCCTCCGCAGCCCGGCCCAACATGGCGGCCGCCCCCCTTCCTCCTCCTCCTCTTCCTCCCCCCGGGGACGCAGCCCCGGCCCGGCCGGGAGCCTGACCTGTCGTCAGGGAGCGGGAGGCGGTGGTGGAGGAGGTGCGGGGTGGCCGGGCGGGCGTCGGGGGAACACGGAGGAGGCGAAGGCGTTGATGGCGGCGGCGGCGATGGCGGCGGCGGCGACTCTGATGGCGGCGGCGGGGGGGTCCCGGGCGCGGCCTCCATAGTTCCTTTGGGGGGGGAGGGGATGTTAATGCACGAAAAAGGACTGCTTGGGCGTGGCGGGAGGGGCACACTTAAGCTCGGAGGGCTCCTGATGGGAATGGGGTATATATTTTTTCGGTTTCGGAATCACCTCTGCGCTGACCTCCGCGTAGGCCGCGCGGCCTAGGCCTCGGAGGGCCGCTCGCCGCCTGCTTTCTCCGCAGCCCAACCCTGCGGTCACTCGCTTACTGGCGCGGGGCCCTCATAGGGGCGAGAGGCCCCCCCACGCACCCCCGCGGGCCCGGGGGCGGGAGACCCGGGAGACTCGGACACTGGTGGGTGGTTGGGTGTAATTAGCGCGGGCCGCGCGCGATGGAGCAAGCGAAGGGTAAAGGGAGAAGAGGAGAGCCAGCGAGGGGGGTGGAAGGGTTAAAAAGAAAAAAAGGATTGAAGGGAGAGAGGGAACGGGCCGCGGAGACGGGCCGACTGTCTCCCTTGTCTGCCCGCCACTGGTCTCCCGGCTGCCCGGCCCCCGCCGCAATCAGGAATTGACACAAAATGGCGGCTCGGCCCGGACCAGCCTAGAGGCTGAGGCGGGAGGAAGGGTGAGGTGGGAGGGGGAACTGAGAGGCGGAGGCGGAGGCCGCGTCACGTGCGGGAGAGGGGTAGAGACCGCTTGCCTGAAGGCCGGCGGAAAGAACCGAAGGCAAAGGGTGAGTCCGAGGGGAGGCGGAAATAGCCGAAAAGAGCTGAGCAGGAGACAGGAGGCGACGGGAGAGAGCCGAAAAGAGCCGAAGGTGGTGATGGGGTGGGGCTAACGAGAGCATGAGAAACCTACGGGAGCCAGAAATAGCCTAAGCCGATTGGGACCGGGGAAGGAGGAGAAACTGAGATGGTCCGGAAAGAGCCGAAGGCGGTGTCTGGGTGGGTGGCAGGAGGTGGAAACAGCCGAAAGAAAAGCAGCCAGGGTAATGCGATTAAGAGAATGAGCTGAACGGGCGGGGCTGGAGCGGCGATTAATTAAGAGAATAAACGACTTTCAGGAATCCGCCCGAGAGCAAGAGGGAAGAACCGAAAATTGCTAGTTTGAAGGAAGGCGGGAAGAGCCGATAGTTTTAGGTGGGAGGATGGGAGGGAAGGAATTCAAGCTACGGAGAGAAAAAAAAAAATAACCGAAAGCTGGAGGCCAGGTGCCGAGAGTCGGAGGTTTCCGGAGAAGCGATGAAGCCCAGCCAGCCCGGAGGTGACGTCACTCGACAACTCAGTCGATGACGTCATCCTTGCAGGAGCGAGGGGCGGGGCTTGGTAGTCCATCAGGGGAGTTTAAGGACCTGGGGTGTAAGAGGACGCAGAGAAGACTCACAAATAGCGGAGATAGAAACACTGGCCGGTGTCGTAGACTGTGTACAAACAAAATCTTTTGACTCTCATAACCGTCCTAAGATAAGCTGCTGCAATTCCCATTTGCAGACTGAAGTTGGGTGTTTTAAGTAATTGGTTCAACGTCATAGGATTAGTGCTAAAGAGCACAGCAAGACTTTGTTGTTGTTGTTGTTTTTAAGACACAGTCTCGCTTTGTCGCCCAGACTGGAGTGTAGTGGCGCGATCTCGGCTCACTGCAAGCTCCGCCTCTGGGTTCACGCCATTCTCCTGCCTCAGCCTCCCGAGAAGTTGGGACTACAGGCGCCCACCACCTCGCCCGGCTAATTGTGTGTGTGTGTGTGTGTGTGTGTGTGTTTTAGTAGAGACGGGGTTTCACCGTGTTAGCCAGGATAGTTCTCGATTTCTTGACCTCATGACCTTCCCTCCTCGGCCTCCCAAAGTGCTGGGATTACAGGCGAAAGCCACCGCACCCGGCCTTTTTTTTTTTTAAGAGACAGAATCTTGCTCTGTCCCCCAGACTGCAGTGATGTGGCACGATCATACGTCACTGTAACCTCGAATCCAGGGATCTTCCTTAAATACTTTTGTTAGCTCTTTCTACAGTGCCAGTCCCTGTGATGGACTATGGGAACAGTTTGTCTTCATGGAACTTAACCGACAATGCCCCGAGAGAGAAACAGAGTTAAAGAATAAAGGGGGTGGGTGGAGTGTTAGAGGAGAGTCTTGAAATTGTTTTTTAGGCTGGTATATGAAAAAGAAGAGCTGGTTCCAAGCAGAAGAAATACCTTATTTCAGGCGGGGCGATGTTGCTCACGCCTGTACTCCTAGCATTTTGGGAGGCCGAGGCGGGCGGATCGCTCGCTTGAGCTCGGGAGTTGGAGACTAGCCTGACCAACATAGTAAAATCCCTTCTCTCCTAAAAATACAAAAATTAGCAGTACATGATGGCTCACACCTGTAGTCCCAGCTACTCGGGATGTTGAAAAGGGAGAATCGCCTGAGCCGGGGAGGTCGTGAGGCTGCAGTGAGCTGAGATTATACCACTGCACTCCAGCCCGGACGACAGAGTGAGACTCTCGTTTCAAAAAAAAAAAAAAAAAAAAAAAGAAAAGAATACCTTATTTCAGGCCCTGACAAAGCAAAGACCACTTAGATTCCAGGAAGAGAGAAAAACCTCGTCCAGATTGATAAAGCTGGAGACAGAGGCACCATGTGACTTCCTGGTATATTGATCCTACTATTTTTTAAATGTTCCAGCTGGCAGCAGGGCGTGGTGGCACATACCCATAATCCCAACACTTTGGGAGGCCGAGGCTGGCAGATCACTTGAGGTCAGGAGTTTGAGACAGCCTGGCCAACGGGACGAAACCCATACAAAAAAATTAGCCAGGCATGGTGTGGCGCGCCTGTAATCCCAGCTACTCGGGAGACTGAGGCAGGAGAATTGCTTGAACCTAGGGGGTAAAGGCTGCAGTGAGCCAAGATGGCACCACTGCACTCCAACCTGGGTGACAGAGCAACACTCCATATCAATAAAAAATAAATAAATAGAGCCAGGCATGGTGGCTCACGCCTGTAATCCCAGCACTTTGGGAGGCCAAGGTGGGTGCATCACCTGGGGTTGGGAGTTCAAGACCAGCCTGACCAAACCCCGTTTCTACTAAAAAATACAAAATTAGCCCGGCGTGGTGGCGGACGCCTGTAATCCCAGCTAATTGGGAGGCTGAGGCAGGAGAATCGTTTGAACCTGGGAGGCAGAGGTTGCGGTGAGCAGAGATCTCACCATTGCACTCCAGCCTGGGCAACAAAGAGCGAAACTCCATCTCAAAAAAAATAATAGGCCGGGCACGGTGGCTTATGCCTGTAATCCCAGCACTTTGGGGGACCGAGGCGGGCGGATCACGAAGTCAGGAGATCAAGACCATTCTGGCTAACACGGTGAAACTCCGTCTCTACTTAAAATACAAAAAATTAGCCAGGCGTGGTGGCGGGTGCCTGTAGTCCCAGCTACCCAGGAGGCTGAGGCAGGAGAATGGTGTGAACCCAGGAGGCAGAGCTTGCCGTGAGCTGAGCTGGCACCACTGCACTCCAGCCTGGGCGACAGAGCAAGACTCCGTCTCAATAATAATAATAATATTAGGCCGGGCGCGGTGGCTCAAGCCTGTAATCCCAGCACTTAGGGAGGCCGAGACGGGCGGATCACGAGGTCAGGAGATCGAGACCATCCTGGCTAACACGGTGAAACCCCGTCTCTACTAAAAATACAAAAAACTAGCCGGGCGAGGTGGCGGGCGCCTGTAGTCCCAGCTACTCCGGAGGCTGAGGCAGGAGAATGGCGTGAACCCGGGAGGCGGAGCTTGCAGTGAGCTGAGATCCGGCCACTGCACTCCAGCCTGGGCGACAGAGCGAGACTCTGTCTCAAAAAAAAAAAATAATAATAATAATAATAATAATAATAATAATATTATTAATAAAGTAGGCTCACAACCGTAATCTCAGTACTTTGGGAGGCAGAGGCGGGTGGATCATGAGGTCAGGAGATCAAGACCTTCCTGGCTAACACGGTGAAACCCTGTCTCTACTAAAAATACAAAAAATTAGCCGAGTGTGGTGGCGGTTGCCTGTAGTTGCAGCTACTCAAGAGGCTGAGGCAGGAGAATTGCTTGAACCCAGGAGACGGACATTGCAGTGAGCCAAGATCGTGGTGCCACTACACTGGAGCCTGGGTGACAGTGAGACTCCGTCTCAGAAAAAAAAAAAAAAAGAAAAGAAAATTCCTGATAAAATGCTTAAAATAGCCGGGCGCGGTGGCTCAAGCCTGTAATCCCAACACTTTGGGAGGCCGAGATGGGCGGATCACGAGGTCAGGAGATTGAGAACATCCTGGCTAACATGGTGAAACCCCGTCTCTACTAAAAAGTACAAAAAACTAGCCGGGCGAGGTGGCGGGCGCCTGTAGTCCCAGCTACTCCGGAGGCTGAGGCAGGAGAATGGCGTAAACCCGAGAGGTGGAGCTTGCAGTGAGCTGAGATCCGGCCACTGCACTCCAGCCTGGGCGACAGAGCAAGACTCCGTCTCAAAAAAAAAAAAAAAAATGCTTAAAATAAATTATCAGTGGATGAAACTTGTTTTGAGAAGCTGGTGCTCCCCCTACCATCCCACCTGGTACCCCAGTTGATAGTCAGCTGACTGCCAGCCAAGAACTGTGTTACCTTTACCCTGACTATCATCTTTCTGGATCCAGTCTCAGATCTAATGGTTAGATAATGATTCTCTTCTCCTATAAAATGTCCCTATTAGAGTGAATCTTAATTGGCCTACAAGGGACCTTTTTTCCTTGCATGTAAGATTGTAATAAAGTGTTCACTCATGCTCATAGCTATGTTGTCCAAAAAAGTTTTCTTTAATACACCAAGAACTAATACTGCAGGTTTGTAGGAATGGAAAGGAAGGACACCAAAGTAGCTCACTGTGCGATTGTGGATGGTGCCATTCCTTCCTTTACACCTTGATATTTGGACCTCATGTATTGTGTTATGGACAAAAACCACTGATAGAGAACATAGACCACATCTAAGAGGACCGCTATTGTCTTTTCAAGGTACGGTCCTGAAGGGGCCCCATCTCTGAAGTTTCAACAGGGCCATTCTACAATTCTAGATGGCCATCTGCTTTTAAGTAATGGGGAAAACGAAAATCCCACCAAGCAGGAATTCCCTGTACTTCTTCAGTTTTATACTGGAACATTGTGGAACATTGTCTACCAAGCTCTTCTGACACTTCATCTGATTTTTTTATTTTTATTTTTATTTATTTTTTTGAGACAGAGTCTCATACTGTCACCCGGGCTGGAGTGCAGTGGTACAATCTCGGCTCACTGCAACCTCTGCCTCCCGGGTTCAAGTGATTCTCCTGCCTCAGCCTCCCGAGTAGCTGGGATTACAGGCGTGTGCCACCATACCCAACTAATTTTTTATGTTTTTAGTAGAGACAGGGTTTCACCATGTTGGCCAGGCTGGTCTAACACTCATGACCTCATGATTCGCTTGCCTCGGCCTCCCAAAGTGCTGGGATTACAGGTGTGAGCCACCATGCCCTGCCTATTTATTTAGTTTTTGAGATAGAGTCTCACTTGTCTCCCAGGCTGGAGTGCAGTGGCGCAATCTCGGCTCACTGTAACCTCTGCCTCCCAGGTTCAAGCGATTCTGCTGCCTCAGCCTCCCGAGTAGCTGGGACCACAGGCACGCACAACACCCGGCTAATTTTTTTTTTTTTTTTTTTTTTTGAGACTGAGTTTTGCTGTTGTTTCCCAGGCTGGGAGTGCAATGGCTCAATCTCAGCTCACTGCAACCTCCACCTCCCCCGCCCAGGTTCAAGTGATTCTCCTGCCTCAGCCTCCCCAGTAACTGGGATTACAGGTGCCCGCCACCAAACCCAGCTAATTTTTTTTTTTTAATTATTTTTAGTACAGATGAGGTTTCACCATGTTGGCCAGGCTAATTTTGAACTCCTGACCTTAGGTGATCCAACCACCTCGGCCTCCCAAAGTGCCAGGATTACAGGTATGAGCCACCATGCCCGGCCTATTTATTTATTTATTTATTTTGAGACGGAGTCTTGCTGTGTCTCCCAGGCTGGAGTGCAGTGGTGCAATCTCGGCTCACTGTCACCTCTGCCTCCCTGGTTCCAGCGATTCTCCTGCTTCAGCCTCCCATGACTTTTTTTTGTTTTTTAATTTTATTTATTTATTTTTGAGACAGAGCCTCACTCTGTCATCCAGGCTGGAGTGCAGTGGTGCAATCGTGGCTCACTACAGCCTCGA